GAGAGGGAGGGGGAGAGAAAGAAGGAGAGAGAGGAAGAGAGAGGGAGAGAGGGGGAGAGAGAGCGAGGGGGGAGAGGGAGAGAGCGAGGGAGAGAGGGAGGGAGGGAGGGAGAGAGAGAGAAAGAGAGAGAGAGAGAGAGAGAGAGAGAGAGAGAGAGAGAGAGAGAAAGGAGGGCAGACATTCCTCTCACGGCCGGGGTTCTCCTAGTCCTGGTACCATGAACGTTTCTTGAAGGGCCAGCCAGATAGCTCAGTGGACTAAAGCCTCTGCTTAGGCAGATTCAGGGACCAGGGTTCGATCCCCAGTGTACCGTGCAGGCCCCGCCTGCGGGGTGCCCTGAGAGGGCGATTGAGACTGGGCGTGGTGGCGCGCGCCCATCGTCCCAGCGCGTGGGAGGCTGTATGCAGGAGAATCACTGAGTCTGATCTACATGGTGAGACCCCGTAGACCCTGTACTAAACAAGAAAAAAAATGTTGGCTTTCGTTTTCCGGTAGAAGCTCGTGCCTCCCCTCCAGGCTTCCTCTGAGGGCCTGGGAACTCGAGTGAGCTGGACGCGGAGGCTGGGCAGGCAGAAAAGGGCACACAGAAAGATAGCGTCTGCGCCCCCTGCTCGTGAGCACGAAGGCTCTCCAGAGTGTGCCGGCTCTGCTCTGCGCAGGTCGCGCAAGCTCGGTGCTGACAGGGAAAAAGGCTGGGCTGGGGTCGGGGTTTCCAGCGTCTGCGCTCCCCCTGCTGTCCGAAACGTTGCAGCTGACGAATCTCAACTTCCAAATGGCAGGGACAGCGCTTCCTCGGCGAGAGCTAAGCCTGCGGGGAGCGCTAAGAACGGCTTCCGCCCTCGCTGCCAGCCCCGAGCGCCACCGTCCTCTCTGGCGACAGAGAAGGGGACGGAGGGCCAGCCACTGAGCCCAAGCAGCAGTCGCCGACAGCACTCTCACCCAGGACGGATCCAGACACAGTGCTTACATCCATCCTGCTGGACACGCACCCGTGTGAAGCCCGTTGCTCTGCGGAGCTCGGATGCACCGATGAGGCCCGCAGACCGCACCTGCTCTCACCGGCTAAGCAGCAGATTGCTCGGCGCGCTGTGGGAGAGGGAAACTGAATGACTTACACATGAATTCCAGAGCAGGGCCCGCGCGGCAGTCTGCTGCTTAAGACGACGCAGCCGCCGGGATTCTCCACCTTGCTCTGGGGCCTGCGGAGTCAGGCGTGCATCAGCCCCTCGCCCCCAAGCGACGAGTCAGGCCTCCCGGACAGCTTGCCAGCTGAGGCCCAAGTCGTGCGGCTCTTCAGCACCTGTCCACACGGTCCAGTGAGGACGCTATTTGTGCTGAGTCACCGGAAATAGAGTA